TAAAAAATTATTTTACACTTCAAATTGCATTAAATTATTACCACATAAATAGTTTTAATTAGTTAATTAATTAAATTTAAATCAAATTTTATTATTTTTCATATGAATTAATTATAAAAATATATATTTATTGTACCTTAATATATGTCTCAATGGTATAAGAAAAAAAAATCTTTTTATAAATTTTTAAAATAAAAAATTATTTTACACTTCAAATTGCATTAAATTATACAATTTAAATTACTAGCAGAGTTAGGAAATCCTAAGTCTTTGACGATTTTAAACTTTTAAAAAATATTTAATATGGTCTACTATTTTTTATTTGTATTATTTTTATCTTTAAATTTTTATTTACTTGACACAATTCTAACCAGTTTCTTTATTAATGTATCATTTTGCCCTTAAAATAATTTTCTAGCTTTGCCACCAACTTAAATTCGTTGGATGGTGAACAAACCCTCTAATATTAAGAGTTGTCTCCCATCTAATATTTTTTATTTTGTAATTTGATATAATCTAGAGTCTTAATTCTTAAGTACTATACTTAGCATATTTTGGGATGTTTGAATTAAATACCAAGATGGATTTAATAGTTGTTGATAATCAATATCTGTTAGTTACCTTGACCCAAATTAAGATTTTTAAATTAGTGAATATCCACTTGATCAGTTATTGTTGGTATAATAGTTGTTATTTATAATTTAAAGTATTTAATTTATTCAATTAAAACCAACAATTAGTAACTATTTTCAAAATCTAAACAAACACTCTAATTAGTGGTAAAACTTTGCTACATAAGTTATATGCAAATGACTTAAGTGGTCCAATAGTAATTCCTCTTTTAAGTGAGATAAGAGATTTTAAATTCAAATCACATAATATACAAGTAAATTAAATTAAGAAATAGAAGATAGTTGTCACTCATTATACATTAAAAAAAAAAAATGACATAACAATCACCTTATTTGGCTTGAGTTTGACTTTTTTGATCCAATCAAGAACCAATTATTCAAACCAAAATTAAAAAATTTACTCCTGTTAAATGGCTAATGAGATATTGGTTAATGATATATTGAAATTCTAAGAAGTCTAAAGTCTGAATCTTCAAATATTAGAACAAAAAATCTTATGACTAGGTTGAACAGTAGGTATTAATAAGTACAAATTGGCCATCAATTTGGCTTGCATTGATGTAATTGTAATACGTGAGCGATTTTGCTACTTCTTCCTTATTTAATTTTCTTACAGATAAGTGAGGAAGTAGGTGTTATTTGATAGCTGATCTTTTGCTTTATATGGATGAGTTTATGCTCAATACTTGCACTGATTTACTTCTGCCGTCCATCATTTCTTCACAGAAGCCAGAATTCTTGGTGGACTAATATGCCACTTGAATTATTTCTTGGGGCATCTTGGCTACGTTAAAGCATTATAATAAACTTTTTTTTTTTTATGTTGATCCAATAACTACAGAGAAAGAAAAAAAAAAAAAAGACAAACGCAAGTTAAATGATATAAAAAGAAATCACCCAAATCAAAATGCAAGAGCTCAAGCAACTTGCAACTATTTCAAACTAGAAATACATATATCATAATGTAGAATATATGTAAATGAATGATCCATAAATTTCATAATCTATGCTGCTTCTAGGTAATGTTAAACATGGCTTGCTTCCACACACCTGCAGAGGATACAGTTGCTTGCCACTACGCCCAGAGAGGTGTACCACTCTCAAGTTTGGTGTTTGAATCCTTAGGATCCTCGCATTTACCCATTCGCTTTTACTCGTGTTGTGGAGTCTTGGTCCGTACTTGAAGTGACTCTATAAATAGTATAAAAGGTCTCCACGCCCTCAAACTTATGCTCCTATGTCCTCATGCGCTCCCCATTTTGGGACAATACCCAACACCTTAACTGGGCTTAAAAAAACCATAAAGGCCTAAGCCTTAAGGTCTTAAAAGGGAGCCCAACCTTTAAAATGAATGACACTGGCATGGTTAAGATTTAGCTACATAGACCTCAACCCTAGACTGTAGAGTCATAAATAACTTAACCACCAGGCACACTCTTTCTTTACTTAATCCATTTAAGAGTTTCTCAAAGTATTACTAAATTATGTCTCGGAGTATCTAGGCCAAAGAAACCTTTTCGGGTTTGTCCTGCAAAACTTATTAATATCAATCAATAAAGGAATTTCTTGGATTTAATTAAATAATAACACCTCACAGACTTAAATTGTTTACTCTAATACATTATAAAAGGGGGAAAAAATTCCAACAGCAAGGCCTGCTTTCCCACTCAACTTACCCAACCACATGGATTTGGCACACGTGAGCATACTGTGTAGCGGCAGCAACAGCAAGCTCATATTATTGTTGGTCTTTGTCTGCTACAATATTCCAACAAGAAAAAACCACTGTCCCTTTAGGATATGATGTGGAAAACAGTCACTTCCCTTTCAAGGAGAAGCCTAACCTCATCACCTTTCCTATCCTACCCATCCAAAATTCCATCTTTGTTAGGCAAAATATCTCATCCCCTTTTTTTATCAAAAAAAATATATATATCATCCCTTTTTCCTATCACATTTATTATTTCTCTTTTTTCCAATCAAATTATTAACCTTACAGCAGAAAGCCAGAAACGAACTTCGGCTCTTCTGAGGATTAAATTACCACTTAAATGTTGCCGCACGAGACCAAAAAAATTTGACGTGGCAGCACTTGATTCTTAGGGGAATCATCAGTTGGCATCAAGACACCGTCATAAAGCTCTGAAGGAACAGCAAATGGTTTCTTCTTACGTCTAATCTGTGTCGTTAGGTATAGATTAAGACATAAAAAATATTTTTTTATAATTAATTTATATAAAAAAATAATAAAAATTTATTTTTATTTTAATATTATTATCACATAAATAATTTTAATCAATTAATTAAATTCAAATTAATTTTTATAATTTTTTATATTCATTAATTACATAAATATATATTTATTATATCTTATTCTATGCCATCAGATAGAAAATCCCTTCTTAGAATGTTTCAAGATTTTCATACGAGTCCTCTATGCTTCCATCTTCTTTACTTCCTTCCTTTCCTTCTTATATACCCGCAGATTCTTGTCTTTCCATCTGCCTTCCATAGAAGTAATAATAGCGAAGAAGAAGAAATTAAGGTGGAAACATGTGCTACTCTAACAGAGTATCATCAGGTGATCAGAAGGGGTCGGTGGTTGTGCAGCAGCGGTGGTTGGCTCTGCGGACACCACCGGTCATCACCACCGTGCGTCGTACACCGAGTATTGAGGGTACTGGGGAGGCTGGTGGAGCTGGCTTGACGAAGCGGTGCGTTTGCTCCCCGTCAACACACCCAGGGTCGTTCAAGTGCAGGCACCACCGTGCTGAGTACCCCTGGGGTGGCCGACTAGTTAATAAGAGATGAGTTAGGGATGTTGGGTTAGACGTCCTATCTCTTATGCAACAAACAGAACATGACATGTCTAGTACTCTAGTCCTCAACACCTTGTATCTTGTTCGCCTTTCTTATTCTCTTCTTGTTTCTGTCCATTTTCAATGTCATGTTGAACTGAAAATGAAATATTTTCCCAAGAATTCCTTTTCCTACCGACAATATCATTGAAAGTTTTCATAATTTTCTGTCTGTCTCCCCTGTTTTAGCATAAATTTTCTTGCGTTTTATAAAAGGAGATTCTTAAAGTCTAAAGAGTTATGAAGCTTTCTACTTCTAGCAAATTGAATTCACAATTCAACATTTATTTATTGGTAAACACACAAATTGCCCCAAAATCTTTAATTAAGAAAAAAATTAATCAAAAAAGACAATTATTTTGAGATGTAAGAAGTGACAGTTGTGTTTGCAATTGCTTTCCCATAATACTTTTTCATACAAAAACTTCATAAAATTATTCATTTATTATGATTAAATTAATTTCCAGTAATATTTTGTAAAATTTTGTGATCATATTAATGTATAAGATTAAGCCAAGCCTTCAGGCCCAATAATTTGTCTCTAAATCTTAAATGTTTGAATGTAATTGGTCAAGAATTCAACTCTCATCAATAACTAAAAAAAAACCCCCTCTTCCGAATTCCCCCATGTTTAAGTATATACATATATATATATATATATATTAATGTATAAAACTATTTGAAGTAACTATCAAATAATAATATAATTTTTCTCATAATAAAATATTAAAAAACCTACAACCACAATACTTCATTGTAATTTTAAACACAACTTAAATCATTAACCAAATTGTAAACACGGATAGTATATAACGAGTTGATCCTGTTCTGGAACCAAGACCATGCACCAATTTTTTCTTATTGGAGATAGGAATGTCAATGGGGTCTCACGAGGTCGAAAAGTCCTTCCTCATCCCTATCACTGTGAATGGCAAGGACGAAAATCCCCACAAGGATTTTTAATAAAAGGTAAATTTTACCTCTATCTCCATTCCCTGTGGGGAATGGAAATCCTCGTAGGAATCTTTATTTCCTATCAATTAATATAAAAAATAATAATTTTTTACATATAATTAATTAATATTCAATTATAATGAATAAAAATTTAAAAAGTCAAGTATAATTAATTAAAATTCTTTAAATATAAATCCAAACATAAATTGTTCAAACATAAATAATGATTAATCTAACAAAAATAACTAATACGTTAATAATAAGTTAGGTAAAATTAGGTTAAATTTAAATTTTATTGAATTGGATTTGGGTTGAATTAAATTTAAAATAAAATTAATTTACATATTTTTTAAATTTTTCGTGAGAATGGGAATCCCCACAGGATCCGATAGGACGGGAAAAATTTTCCGTAAATTTTCATGGGGAGAAAATACCCCCGTCCCCACTCCATAGGAAGGAATATTCCTCCCCGCCTTATCTCCAGTAGCGGGGATCCCGTGGGGACCTGCAGAGATCGAGACATATTGCCATCCCTAGTTGGAGAAAAATAACGACAATTAAATCACAACCACCGTGGGGACCTGCAGAGATCGAGACATATTGCCATCCCTAGTTGGAGAAAAATAACGACAATTAAATCACAAATCAAATGATCCAGACGAATTTTCTGTACATTGAGACGAATGCGACCGGTAACCTTTAAAAAACAGTGGTCTGTCCATTGCAACGCCATGAATATGAATATTTCTCATATATAATTCACATGTGAAAAACAAAAACAATGATTGCTTATTGTTTTCAGGTATCTCAGTGTACAATTTTTTGAAGTTAACACTAACCAACCTCTGAACAACTTGAACTCATGATGCATGTACAAGGTGATTGAACTTGACTGAACTCAGGTGCCTGATTCTATGTCCCACTTCTTTTACATTAATCAGACAATATGCCAAACTCCGGTACTCAGGCAGTGCTACTGCAAAAACCAAATCACAATCAATTAATTGGCAGTATAATATATGTTCTTCATAAAGAGAAAAAAAGGAGGATATTTTTCAAAAGAAGATTTCTGCATCTTTTTGTTGAAGGAAGGAAGCAACTGCACTGATAACTCTGGTAACAACCCCTTCTAGTTGATTATAAACCGCAGTATTGTAAATTTAGGGGGCATTTGAAAGGAATTGATTATCATAGCAGCAATTGTCAAAATCAGAATAGTGTGAACGAAGGACAACTCAGTGCATGAATTTTATGGTAGAATTCAATACAAGGCATATATGTCTTTGAATTAGTATCTCTATTGGGCTGCATATTTCCGGTTCTAAATAAGCAAAAGTTGAAAAGGAGAAAAGGAAAAACAAAGTAAAAAGGAATCCCTCACCTCAGGATAGCAATCTTGGCGGACAATTGTCTGGTCATTCTTATTTACATACACCTCACATGATACTTTTGCCTAAAACACCAAAGGAACACAAATTAAACATCATTGAAACAAAAACCCCAGCGTGCAAAATGATTAAGAAAAGCAGGAAATGGAGAAAGGCAAGCAAGCAAGTTAAAACAGCATTGCGAATAAGCGTGTAAACCACCAATCAAACATTCTTCCCACCACTCGCACCCCTCCAAACACAAACACAAACACACCATAAAAGGACTACTTCTTTCTCCTGAATTGCTATTTCAGATTTCAGAATGATATAAGCAATTACATCCTTGCATGAAAAACAGATTCATAATTCATTGCATTGCTTCAGATCATTTATTCAACCACCTTTATAACCATATCTTATTAATTTGGGCCTAATTAGGAGTTTGTTTTATCATCTCTGGTAGCATGAATGCTCAATGGGAAAATGATTTTGAGTAAAAATGGAAAAAAAAAAAAAAAAAAAAGGGGCTCAGCTCTCTACATTATTCAATTTATTATTTCCCTATGCTTCATCTGCTTCCTTGCCTTCATATCTAATCAACTAGGCAGTCATCAATCAACCATCAAACTTCAGAACTAACAATCTTGCAAAACACCCTCCACTTTCAAGAAAAGGGAAATGGGAAAACCAACCAAACCATCAGTATGCATTTACTTTTATGCTTAAAGCTAGAGCAACTCAGCATTCTCTCGTCTCGTCTACATAAAGAAGCAAGCCCTAATACGGAAAAAACTTTCCCAACACTGCATTAGGACACTACCACACCTCCTCTAATCCCTGCATTCATGAGAAAGAGAAACAGCTACCCAATTTTTTACATAAAACAAAGTCTATCCCTGCTGATTGTCGATTAGCCTTGCTCTAAACCACATTGATCTAATAGCAAATCACGCTCAAAGTATGGAACCGTAGGAGAAGAAAATTCTAACTAATCAAGCATTCTCTCCTAATATCAGTGATCTTAGGAAGGATAACAATCTATTCAAACCGTTACGATAATTGATTCATAATTAATTAATTCCTAAATATGATCGAGAGAAATTATTAAATGAAGTGAATTAAAATCAAACTAAAGAGGAACAAAATCAAATTCAATCATTAAACAAAGGATGAAGAACTTACCTTGAGAGGAATTTTGAAGAAGAAGAGCCCAAGCAGCCCTTCAACCTGCGTATTAGTATCAAACGGAATGACACCCTTAGCCCAATCGCCGATCAAGTAAATTGCGTCGTGAATGACCTCCAGCCCATCGATATCAAGCGTGGAATTCACATACGAACTCCGTCTGGCCCTCACGCGCCCTCCGTCAGAATTAACAACCCCTAGCTCCCTCCCTCGGTACCCAACCGAGACGGCAAGCCGATCGTAGTCGAGAGAAAAGAAGTCCCTGTTGTAGACCTTGATGATCAGAGAAAAAGAGAGATCGAGGGTGAGTTTAGGGGAGGAGTTGACTCGAACGTGGTTGAGTCGGAGGCGGGCAAGCCGGAGATTGGGGTCTGAGGGGTAAAGGAAGAAGATGGCGGCGGAGAGGAAGAAAAGGACAGCAGTGAAGGAGAGGCAGTGGCGGAGATAGCGGCGGGTCCGATCATGGTAGTAGACGGGGAGAACGATAACGGTTTGATTGGGATTTTGGGGGAGAGGGGCGTAGGGCACAGAATCCCGCTTCGACATCTTTTTCGTTGGTTGACTTTCGAGAAAGCTCCGACTTGTGCCAAGTTGTAGGAAGTGCTGTTTCGAAGGAGGCAATTTACATATTTGGGTTAAAGCCAATAGGCGTCCCTATACTTTGTAAAAAGATCAATCTGACCGTTATACTAAGTAATCAGCTCAGGTCGTCCCCTCTACATTTTTTCTTTTCAGTTAAACATGTCATCATCCCCCTCTACTATTAAAAAGGTCTTTAATGTCGTCCCTCCATCCATTCCATCTCTAATGGCGTTTTCTTTTTTCAGTTAAAGCTGAACAATCAAATATTTGTCACAATTTTATATTTATTTATTTTTTTGCTATCTCAATCTGCCTTAATAAGGTCTATTTTTTTTTAAGTGATAATATTATAATTATAATATTATATAAAATTATAAATTTACATTAAAAAAGTTTATTGCAAAATAATAGAGTTTGAGAGTCTACCATTGCCTTTTATGTTCTTCTACATCCTCCCTCTCTTTTGCTTTTTGTTGGTTTGTTCCCTTTTGCTTATTAAATTTCTTTAATCTTTTGGGTTTTGGCTTACCCTTTCTTTTTCCTAGCACAATCTAGGTTTTGATTTTGTATTTTTTGGTTTTTAGTCCTCTTCTATGGTAGTCTTGGAGGCTACTCTTCTTGGTGGTTTGTTAGTGAAAGTTAGGCTGGTTGGGAAAAGGAGGTGGTATTAGACATGGCTAAAGGTATGGATTAACTAGGGGATGCATCGAAAATAGGTTATCCCTGTTTGTGGAGGAGGGAGTCGGCTCGTTTCTGGCAAAGACAGAGGTTGGGGTGGTTTTAGCTAATGATGGTGAATTCAAAGTATCATCCACGATAGAATTCTAATGTGTTTAAACACTTGGTAGCGGTTGCAGCTAGGACTTGTCAACTAGGGGGGTACAATGGTACTTGCAAATGAGGTGCAATGGCGGCACTGGAGTGATTTTCAAGTTGCTATCCCTACAAACTTGGACCGAGATCCATTGATTGGAGAAGGAAATCAAGGAATTGGCAAACTTGTACAAGTTTTGGTCAAAAATTCTACAATTGAAGAATTTTTATATTTTAACACTTTGAATTGAGGGTTTTGATGGTTAATTTGAAAATGACTTTTTTTATTAGATTACTCAACTCTAGTTTTTAGGTTTTTAGTTTTGGTTTTTTTAGTTTTTAAAAAGAGATGATCTAATATACTTATCAATTTTAATTTTTAATATAA